TTTCCCAAGTTTATCTGAATCCATATTTTCCATCACTTTTTATAGTGCAATAATATTCGATTACATTTCTATGCCATTATTTGTTCAACCACTTTCAAATTGATAGGCACCTCCTTATTTTTCAGTTCTTTGCTACAACAAAAAGTTGTGTTTTTTTTGAAACATACGGATCCTTTTCTACTTTCTTGGATCTCTTTGATAGATCCATACCCAGAAGTGGTATTAGTGGTTCAGAAGGTATACATAGTTTTGTGACTTTGTTGGTATAGATCCAAATTGATTCCAGAATGTTTGGGCTACTTCTCAGTTCCGTTAGCAGTTGCATCAGTATGTCTGCCCTTCCACAGCCCTTGCAATAATTATAATTTTCCTTTTTTACAATCTTTGCTAATCTGATGGGGTTGAGGTAAAACCCAGATTTTTTAATAGTATTTTCCCAATTATACTTTAAGACAACTTTTAGCATTCATTTTTACAAGATTTTGAGTTCCAAATTTTTCTCCTTCTGCTATTCTCTTCCTGAAATAGTAGGCAATTTGATATAGGTTGTATATATGCAATTATGTAAAGCATATTTCCATATTAGTCACAGTTGTGAAAGAAGAAACAGATAAAAAAGGAAAAAAAACATGAAAAAAATAAAGTGAAAAAGGTATACTTCAGTCTGCATTCAGAGTCCATCAGTTCTTTATCTGGCTGTGGATGGCATCATGAGTCTTTTGTACTTGTCTTGTATCATTGTGTTGCTGAGAAGAGCTAAGTCATTCATAGTTGATCATCACACTATGTTGCTTCCTGGTTCTGCTCACTTCACTTAGCATCAGTTCATAGAAGCCTTTCCAGTTTTTCCGAAATCTGCCTGTTTATCATTTTTTATTGCACAATAGTATTCCATTACATTCATATATCTCAACTTGTTCAGTGATTCTCCAATTGATAGGCATCCCCTTATTTTCCAATATTTTGCCACCCCAAAAAGGGCTGCTATGACTATTTTTGCATTTGTAGGTCCTTTGCCATGTTTTATGATCTCTTTGGGATACAGACCCAATAGGAGCATTGCTGGATCAAAGGGTATGCACAGTTTGATTGCTCTTTGGGCATAGTTCTAAATTGCTCTTCTCTCAGAGTTGTTTTAATTTACATTTCTCTTATCAGTGATTTGTAACTTGTTTTCATATTGTTGTTGATGTCTTTCTTCTTTTGGAAGCTACCTGTTCGTATCCTTTGACCATTTGCCTATTGTGGAATAACTTTTGTCTGTCTATCTCCCATATATCTTGTTTATTGGATCCTAATCAGAGAAAGTTGCTGGGATTTTTTCCATTTAACTATTTCCTTTCTAATTTTAGTGGCATTGATTTTGTTTGGGCAAAAAAAGAAAATTAAATTTTATGCAATCCAAGCTGTCTCTTTTGTCTCCCAGGATCCTCTCTGTCTCTTGCTTGTTCATAATGATCAACTCATCATTTGATCTCAAAATCTATGATCAACTCATCACTTATTGTTATGGAATGCATCTTCTTTTTTGCTCCTATAATTTTAAAATTATTTTATTGCACACACACATCATACATGTATACACATAAATGTACATATGTATGTCTACCTACGTATGTGTAAATATATGTATGTATGTGTGTATAGACATACACACACATGTGTGTGTATATGTGTGTATATAATCCTTCCAGAGGTAAGACTTGAACACACTTCTCACCTAACTCCAAACCTAGTGCTTTTACCACTGTATATCACACTGCCCTTCCATCATTAAATCTACGTCCTTATATTTTTGAGATTATCTGGCTTAATTGAATCTCATACCCAGCTTTCTACTGGTTCTTTTTCTTTCCCAAAGCTTTTGATTATATTGTGATATGTATCTTTTAATTTTCTACTTTCCTCTGTAATCTTTGCAAATTAGAAACTTGTATTCTAAACTCATGGGGTCTGTTGGCTGCATCAAGAGTGGAGTGACACTCGAAAGGAACAGAGTGGCCTGGATCACACTGGTTGTTACTCTTTGGATAAAAGTCTCAAATTTAGAGTACTAATGCATTAAGCTATTGTTTATTGAAGGTTGGACAATTGTGTGATTCTTAGCACCATCTATACTCTTTACCACACACAGAAGGAAACAAGCATGCTGTCTAGAACTCAGTACCTTTTAGGTTTTTAATTTTAGGAATCACCATGGCTGAACAGTTCATAGTGCACTGGTCGTCCTGCTAATGTACACTACCTTCATACTCTTTTAGGCTGATGGACAGTCAATAGACAGCCTCCTGAGTATAGAGTCAGTGCTCTAGCTGCCATGGTCAGCCTCATTCTTTAGAGGAAACTGAAGCCTAGAGACATGAATTGACTTGCTCAAGGTCACAATTATTAGTAGTAATAATAAATAGCATTTATACAGTGCTTTGAGGTATATAATTTTCTAAAATTATCTCATTGATCTTCACAACAACCATATGAAATAGGTGTTATTACCTATTTTTAGATGAGGAAACTGAGGCTGGAGCTGTTTTTGTTATTAATGGCAATATCTATAGGGTTTATAATTGGAAATTACCTCGGAAGTCACTTACATCAGCCTTATAATTCTGACAGATGAGGAAACTGAAGCCCATAGAAATATGTTATTATATTATTATCTCCATTTTTCAGATAAGGAAAATGAGGCTGAGAGAGATTAAGTGACTTGTCTAGGGTTACACAGTATATGTCTAAAATAGAATTTGAACTCAGGTGTTTCCAACTTAAAGTCTAATGCTCTACCCACTATGCCACCTAACTAGCCTTCTGGTAGTAGCAAGTTTCAGTGTCAGAATAAAACCCTAGGTCTTCTGATTTTAAAGCCATTCCATTATTATAGCACCCTGGCTCCTCCTATCATTAGAACATTTGGTGTTGTGTTACCCTCTTAGTATGGCTGAGCTTGTGACCTAGAGGCAATGTAACCTCTCAGCCTCAGTTTCCTCATCTGAAAAAGGGTGATAATAATAGTATTTACACTTTGCTGGGCTCCACCTGATGCCTACCACTCACTTACTGTATAAAAAGAAAGATACAAGAAATGCTAAATGTATCTAGATCACCAAATGCCATATTTTCTACTACTGCAGTCTTGTATTGGGCAACAAAAGATCTGAACAAATGACCCAATTTCATGATTTAAACAGACTTATTTGAAGAAGTATTCACATGGTTTCCATGGCCATGCTAGAAATTGTGTGTGTTCATTTCAGTGTTACATTTGATTTAATCAGTTTTTACTGGAAAACATGTTCTTTCCTCCCCCAAAACAGTTCAGGGAAAAGGTCTAGAAACTGCTGAAAGCTTTTAGCTCAGGAAGATAAAAGGAAACATAAGTGGCCTGTGTGAGGGGGAGGATGGTAGATATGTGTGAGAAAGATAGGAAAGGTCTAAGCTACTTAATATTGCTCTGGTGACATTGGCAGAGCCAAGAGAACACAGCTAAATCTTCCCTCTCCTTAAATCCAGTAACTTACGAAATTGTGAGGGAAAGGTTAAGAGGAATTCTGAAGACTCAGTAGTATCCACAGTTCCTTTGGCATTTCCAGAAGAAGAGTATATACTTTGCACCTTCAGGCTAGGGGAGAGTGGAAAGAACTCTGTGGAGTCAGAGGGTCTAAGTTCAAATCCCAATTTTCATATTTACTGTGTAATTATGGGCAACTTACTTAACCTCTCTGGGCCTTGGTTTCTTTATCTATAAAATGAGTTAGGCTATGGTCTCTTAGGCCCCTCCCACTGTAACTCTGAGGATAACCTCCCTTTGGCTGCCAAGCAAAGCTAGAAGGATGACTATCTTCCTGAGTTCCTGCACACATGTTACTGGAACTCTGGACTGTCAACCAACATTACTGGAAATCCTTATTTCTGATTACAGAAAGTATAAGTTTAAAGAGGCTTAAGTGGAGGGAGAGATTTGGAAGTCATCCACATATAATGAGTAAGGTTGAATTGAGTGCTAATTTAGCATTATGATTCAGGCAGTCTTCTCAATTCTAAAATGAGCCTATTCCCAATCCAGCATTTGCAAATATGTAACCTTTAGTCTAAATGTAGCAAGGGCTGTTCACCAACATATAGCATGGTGGTGTTGTGGGGCTCAAAGAGAGGCAACATAGACATTTCTAGCCTCCTCTCCTTCCATCCTTCTCCGGGGGAAACTACAGTTCCTGCCAGGAGGGAAAGCAGGAGATTAGGACCAGATATTTGGTAACTGCCATCTTCTGATAAAAGGGGTCTAAGCCTAAAATTATATCTATCTGCTAATTTACATATTGCTAGTATAGGGGATGGGATTTTCAGGTTCAATCCAACTTCTTATCTCTGTTTCATTCGCGAAGGAGGACACCAAACTTTACATGCAAAGCTCGACCCCTTTTCCCACCAAATTCTACCAGTTCTACAATGAATGACAATAGCAATTATCAAAGAAGCCCATTTATCCAATTTGATAACAAAAAAAGAGAAATTTTTAAAAGTATACACAGAAGAATATATGCCAGACAATACAGAGTAAAGGAGTTCTTTTTTTCTTTTTCCCAGAAAAACCTGGAAGGACTTTTATTTATTTATTTTCTTAAATTTTTTTTTTCTTAATTTATTTTTAGTTTTTAACATTCACTTCCATAAGCTTTTGAATTTTAAATTTTCTTGTCTTCCTTCCCCTCTTCCTCCCCAAGACAGCATGCAATCTGATATAGGCTCTACCTATACATTCCTATTAAACATATTTTTGCATTAGTCAAGTTGTAAAGAAGAATTAGAACCAATAGGAGGAACCACAAGAGAGAAGAAACAAAACAAAAGAGAAGAAAAAAAGTACAAAGAGTACTTTTCGATCTGCATTCAAACTCCATAGCTTTTTCTCTGGATGTGGATAGCATTTTCCGTCATGAGACTTTTGGAGATATCTTAGATCCTTGCAATTCTGAGAAGAGCTAAGTCTATCAAAGTTAGTCATCGCACAAGGTGGGAAGGAATTCTTTTAGAAGAAAGGTAACTCATCTCAAGAAGAAAAGAGTCCCAGATTTCACCCAAGGAGAAATTCCCCGAAGTTTCTAGTGTAGTAAACTGGGGATAGGGAGGTGATGGTGACTGCCAGCTCCTTTGATGTCAGCTTCTTTCCAGACTCTTTTCCTTCAGAAACCGGAAGTGGGGTTGACATCGTCCATCTTCTCTCTGAAAGATGGAAGTAAGAAGCACTGAGAGTCCTCAAAAACTCAGTTACTCAAAGAAAACTGGAAGAAGACTAGAGACTGGAACTCTCCCACTCTCACCAATTCTACCTTACAGGTGCAGGGTATTGCTCTCCATTAATAAAGACAGAGTCCCATACCAATGGACTTTGAAATTTTAATTATTAATGCATTTATTTATTGACTTATTTATTCATTCATTCATTCATTTATTTATTTATTTGTTTGTTTGTTTGTTTGTTTGTTTGTTTTTTAGGTGATTGGGGTCAGGTGACTTGCCCAGAGCCACACAGCTAGTGAGTGTTATGTGTCTGAGGTAGGATTTGAACTCAGCTCCTCCTGATTCTGGGGCCATTGCTCTTTCCACAGCGCCACCTAGCTGCCCCTTTAATGTATTTATTTTGATGCTTTAGAGAATCTATGAAAAGACAAGTATTGCAAAATCTTAAGCCAGTCAGTGAAATATGTATGTCTACTACTACCCATGTAATCTGAAGAAAATCACTTCACCTCTCTGGGCCTCAGCTTCCTCTTCTGTGAAATGTGAGGGTTGAACTGGAAGACCTCTACAACCCCCTTCCAGCTTTAAAGCTATGATCCCATGACTAGGTGACGAGCTCTAAGGTCCCTAGGTGTCCCAGGTGTAGTTATACATACATCAGAGAGAAGTATGAAGACAAGATGAAATGTGTCAACTGCCACCAATAGGACGTGGGACTTGAATTGTTTCCTTACTTATGGAAAAGAGTTAGTATGCAGTGAACCTTGGAGAGGCAGCATGGTGATGCTGTGGATAGAACACTGGGTCTGGTGTCTTTGAACGCAGACACTTATGAGCTGTGTGATCATGGGTAAGTCACTTAACTGCTGTCTCAGTTTCTTCAAATGTGAAATTGGGATAATAATAACCCCTATCTCCTAGAATTGTTGTGAGAATCAATAAAAGCATGTAAAAATGCATGTATACACATTTATTAAGCATCTACTATGTACCTGGCACTGTGGTACATGTTTTTACAATATGTTTGTAATATCTAGATCTAGATCTAGAGTAGAGTGGGTATGAAATTTTTGGCAGTTAAAATGTTTGAGAGGATTCTGGGAAGATGGTGGAGTAGGTTAGAAAATTCAAAGCTCTCAAGATTTTCTCCCACAAAAGATAAAATAGTGCCTCAGGATGAAGATGGAGCCATAAAAATAAGTAAGAATAAGAGGCAGAACAGAGTTCCTTCTGGGATAGTAGGAGAAAATCTGAAGAAAAATCCCAGGATGAGATTTCGTTCTTGTGAAGAGGAAACGCCTCCAGGCTGGGGTCCACTTAACAAGTGGTAAGCCCTGGGGTTAATTGGGTTGGGAGGCTGCCTTGGCCGCAGCCACAGTAACTTTTACCCCCAGAACAAAGAGAGGAGTTGGCATCTGAGCCTGGGAAGGTTGAGGGAACCTCTGCTGACAAGGAAAGCCAGACCTAGCTGTGCTGTGGAGACTCAGTGGGGGCAAGAAGGAACCAGTACACACCCAGTGAGTGCAGAAGCAGCGGAGCAGGATATGCTGGCTGTGGGCATTTACAGGAGGCTGGAGGTCTTGGTTGAGGTTCCAGTCTAGACTGGAGAACTGAAGGAGGAGCTGAGGCTAGAGGCACTATGTGCCATACCCAGGACTAGAGGGGATTAAAAAAATAAGCTACTACAAATAAAAAAAAATGTACAGGCAAAGGAGAAAGAATCCAGCTATAAAGAATTACTATGGGAATAGAAAAGACCGCGGTTCATCTTCAGAGGAGAATACTGAAGCAAAGAAACTGTCTTTTACTGCCCCCAAAGAGTAATGTCAAATGGTCACTTGCCCAAAAAAGAATTCATAGAAGAACTTAGAAAGGACTTTAAAAATCAAATGAGAGAGACTGAGGAAAAATTTAAACAAAAAAGGAAGAAAAAATCCAAGAAAAACAAGAAGATTATGAAAAGAAAGTCAACTAATTAGAAAAGAAGATCCAGAAACTTAAGGAAGAAAACAATTCCTTAAAAATCAGAATTAGGCAAGGGGAAGCCAGCAAAGTTATAAGAGATCAAGAAATAATAAAACAAAATATGAAGAATGAAAAAATAGAAGAGAATGTGAAATATCTCATAAGAAAAACAACATTGATCTGGAAAACAGATCAAGAAGAGAAAACATAAGAATAATTTGACTACCAGAAAGCTACAATAAAAAAAATTTGATACAATAATATAAGAACTAATCAAAGAAAATTGTCCTGAAGCATCAGAACAAGAGAGGAAAGTAGAAATAGAAACAATTCACTGATCACCACCTGGAAGAGATCATATGAGGAAATCCCATAGGAATATTATAGTCAAATTCCAAAACTCCCAGTTTAAGGATAAAATATTACAAGGAATAAGATAAAAAATTTAAATATGGCAGTGCCACAATTAGAACCATATAAGATCTGGCAGTGGTAATACTAAAAAACTATGATCTTGGAACACTATATATATTGAAAAGCAAAAGAACTGGACTTCTGGCCGAAAATATTATACCCAGCAAAGCTAAGCAGAATTCTGAATGAAATAAAAAAGGATATTTAATGAACTGTCAGACTTTCAGGAATTTTTTTAAAAAAAACAACAACAACCTGAACTTAACAGAAGATCTGACATACAAGAGTCAAGAGAAATATAAGGTACATACCAAAGACTAATTACAAGGGAGGAAATAAGGACAGATTGTTTACCTTTTACATATATATATATATATATATATATATATATATATACATATATATATATATATATATACATATAATGTAAAATGTATGTCTAAAATTGTTATTAGTAATTGGGTAGTTCATAAGACAGATTGAGGTAAACCCAAGTATGATATTACCTTAAAAAGTAAAACTCTTTAGGCATAGCTAAAAAGGGTAATTATTTTATACAAATGAGGTGCTAGAGGAGAAACTGACACAGAGGAATTAGATGGCAGAAGAGGAGTGTTAGTTCTGGAAACATACTTTCATCAGGAATGAGTTCAAGATGAAACAATACATAAATAGCTAGAAGAGTATAAAAGTCTTCTAAATTCAGAAAGTAAACATTAAGAGGATAGGGAGGGGAGAGAGGACAAGGGAGTCATCTCTAGATGGGTGGATGAGAGAATAGGTTAAGGGTGGTTATAGAAAGGTGTTTAGATTTTATGGGAATGGGAGAATAAGGGAAGGATCCTTGGAGGGGAGTAGGTTAAGTAATAGGAGGGCAAGGTAGAGAGTAGAAGTAAAGTAGAGGAGTCAGGAGGGATAGTAAATAAGAGATTCACACAAACACAAAAACAAAGATCAGGAGTAGAATTTGTTAGGGAAAGTATGTCTCTATATGTATTATGTATATATCTACATATGTGTATGTATATATATATATAAATAAGTGTACATGTATATCTATATCTATATGTAAATATATCCATGCTTAACCATAGCCTTTGGTGGAGGGAGAAATGGAGGAAGGTGGAAAAAAAGAACATAGTAAAAAGTGCATGGCAGAGAATGAAAGAAAACTTACAAGGAAGCAAAGATGGACAATTTTCAACACAATCCATAGTATTATATAGGCTCTCTTGAAATGGAAATTTATTGCTATATATTTTGAATCCTCTCACATTCTGCTGTTCACATGAAATGCTTTTTTCTTTTATTATTTTGTATTTAAGTTTCAATATTTAAGTTTATAATGTTTTTTCTTCTTTTCTTTATAGTGTATTTAAGTTTTAGTATTTCAGTCTAAAAGAAAAAAGAAAAAAAGCAAGAAAAAAGTAAAAAAATGCTTCAATTTAAAAAATGTTTGAGCATGCAATTTCTGTTTATTTATTTATAAAACATATATATATATATGTACACAATTCTACATTCTGTTTATTTTATAACTTGATTTTAATGGCTGTCATAGCTAAAGAAGTGCATTGTTGGTTGCACTTACTAAATTATGATGCTTGTTTTTCAAGGGGTATTATATCATATCACCAATTATACAAACATTTTTGTTGAAATTCAGCTAGCAAACTTCCGTCTTCCTTGATGTCAGTCAAGTGTTCATGTAAACTTATCCAAAGATGTTGCATTTTCATAGGTCTAACAAACAGATTTAAAACCCACTGAAACTCTTCATTTGGAAGATTTTTAAGCAGATTAGAAAGTTCTATTTTCAAAGTTTTAAATTTTTTAAAAATACATTTTTTTACAAGTAACAAGCATTTGTTTTCTCCCTCTCCTACTCCCCCACCCACCTCCTGACCCGTTGTACAGAAACAGGGAAGGAAGAAAGAAAGGGGGGGGAGAGATAGATAGAGAGAGAGAGAGAGAGAGAGAGAGAGAGAGAGAGAGAGAGAGAGAGAGAGAGAGAGAGCCTTTTAACAACTATGAATAGTCAAGCAAAGTAAATTCTCTAATTGGCTGTGATATTAAATTTATACATTCTGAGTCTATCACCTTTCTGGAAAGAAGTGGGCATTACAGTCCTCCAGCCTTACGGTATCATTGCATTGGTCAGAGTTCTAAAGTCTTTCAAAGTTATTGTCATTGTATAAACTATTCTCCTGGTTCTGCTTATTCTACTCTGCATCAGTTCATACAAGTCCTATAAATTTCTTCTGAAACTATTTTTGTCAACATTTCTTATGGTGCAGTAGTATTTCACCGTATTAATATACCATAATTTGTACAGATGTTCCCCCATAGGCAAGCACCTGCTTAGTATCCAGGTTTTTTTTAAACAAAAAGAGCTGCTACACATGTTTTTCTGTATGTATATGGGTCTTTTTCTTCTTTCTTTAACCCTACTAATGTTTCCAAGTTTTAAAAGTAAGCAGCTATGCAACACATCTCCATTGTCTTGGGCAACCAAATCACATAATGACGCAAATGGTTTTCAAAATACTCCCTCCATGACACTAGTTTTTTTCAAAGGGCAATTACTTTTTCACTTGTTAAAA